GTCTAAATAATTGGAGGGGTCTTGTTTGTGGTGGTGATTATTTCAACTATGGTGTTCTGCACATATTCTTAATCTAGTTGTTAATGATGGGTTGAAGGAGTTGAAAGATACTTTTGAGTCCATTCGAAATGCTATTAGATATGTTTGTTCCTCTCCTGCTCGCTTGCAAAGATTTAAAGATGTTTGTGAATTGGAAATGTTGGACACAAAAAGTATTGTTTGCCTTGATGTCAATACTAGATGGAATTCTACATATTTAATGTTAGATGTGGCTTTGAAGTTTCAAAAGGCATTTGAAAGATTAGAGGATAAGGATGAAGATTTTGTTAGCTACTTCAACTAAGGTTCAAAGCGTCATGCTCAGAGTGACTTTTCTTGTTTAGAGGGTAGCATAGATACTTATGTTTATAGGCAAGGTGCTAGACCCGATGATAACATAGATGCTTTTGCTTACTCTAGGCAAGCTCCTCCTAAGTATAATGACCCTCCAAACAAACAAGCTTGGAGTAAAGCACGATTCTTTCTTAAGTTCTTAAAGGTATTTTATGATGTCACTTTGCAATTTTCTAGCACACTGAAAGTTACTGCACATACATGCTTCCATCAAATTGCTTTAATTCAAGAGTTGTTAGATGAGAATATTGAAAGTGATGACCCTCTTCTTAGGGAGATGTCTTTGAGCATGAAGAGTAAGTATGATAAGTATTGGGGGGCAGCAGATAATTTAAACCCTTTGTTGATTATTGCTATGATTCTTGATCCTTGATACAAGCTTGCCTATATTAATCATGTATTTGATCAACTTTTTCCTGCCCCTGACCTTTGTATGTCCATGAAGAACAAGGCAAGAGACACTTTGTATCGCCTATTTGAGGAATACTCTGCAACAGTTAGTCCTGATACAAGCAGTTCTGGATCTGGTAGTGTCAACTCTTCAAGTTCTCTTGACACCAACACTTCAAATGCAAGTAAAGGTAAAAAAGACCATAGTCATAGATGGTTAGCATCCTAAAAGCAAAAAGCTCATCAGTTGATACCCAATCAGAGTTGGATAGATACCTTTCTGCTAGTACATCTGAGGACACCCCTATTGATGGTGATGATGATGATTTTGATATCTTGACATGGTGGAAGGTTAATTCTACCAAATACAGAGTGCTTTCCTTGATAGCACGAGATGTATTGGCTATACCAGTATCTACAGTTGCTTCTGAATCAGCTTTTAGCATTGGAAGACGTGTTGTTGATGATTATAGGAGTTCTTTATCTCCTAAGATGACTGAAGAACTCATTTGTGCCCAGAATTGACTAGTTACAGGGCAATCTCTCTCAGAGTTTGTCTCTATGTTTCATGAGGTTGATAATTTTCAAAAGACTAACGATGTGGTTAATGTTATAGGTAATATATTCAATTTTATGTCTCTTAATTTAATTTATATATTGCATTTTTATACTTACTAATCACTTTATATATGTGTATATGATTTTTTTTACAGATGCTTCAAGTGTTATTGACACTAAGGAGATAATTATTTGAAGATTTATTGAGTTTGTTTCTGTTGAAGCTAAGGAGATAATTGCATGACAGATGTAATGTAGTGTTAAACTTTGTTGAGTGTTTTTGTTGAAGTTATATATTTAAATTATTTGGAGTTTGGACTGTAACTGAAATATTATTTTCTTGATGTTAGAAATCATTATGAATTATGAATTTATTATGATTATAACTTATAAGTGTTTTTATTATCTTAATTGAGCTTATTAAGTTGAAATGAATTATTATTTATCATAGAGAAAAAAAAGAAAAAAAAAGGCCTAGTGAGTATTGGACTAACAGGATCAGTCTCCCAATCCTATGGACCAAGTTTGGTCTTGTTAATCTCTGAGTTTTCACAGGACCAGATCGGACTATGAGTTGCCTAACCAGTCCTTTTTATGAAAAGGACCAGACTCTGAGTTAGTCTGAAGTCCAGTCCGTCCAATCCTTTGTGCAACCCTAAATGATATAATATCGCAGATCGTAATGGAGTTTTTTTTTAATGTTTAATGTTCTCTTCGTAATATCTAGGAAAAATAGAGAGGGAGAGAGAGGAAAAGTTTTGCAATGAAGATGGTGACCAGGAAAATTAGATCAAAAATTCTGATGAAGAAGAGCACTGTATAAGAGATAAATATGATGATCCAAGAAAATCAGATCCATAAATTTGATGAAGAAATTATTCAAAGATGATAAATCAGAGAAGGAGCACGTACGATACGATTTTTTATAATAAAAATAAAAGATCCAATTAGCTAAAGATTAGTTAAATCAAATATTTTTTGTTTTAATAATAAATATATTCTGAGGATGAAAAAGAAAAATACATCTAATTGATTTTATGAATGGGCCATATTCCAAAATATTTAAAAACTTCATACATAATTTATGGGACTTTTATTTTTTGAGGCCATTGAGCTAACTTTTTGTTGAAATATGAGCATCAAATTCTTTTTTGTAAAAATTTATTATTATGTATAATTTAAAATTTTAGAAATAAAAAAATTTTTGTGGGGTTGCGTACCTACCATTTTAGAGTTTCTGTAATTTTAATTTGAATTTTATTGATAAGTTTTTAACATTTTTTTTATGATAGGTTGAGATATATTTGCATATTCATCATTTTGTTTTTTGGGAAACAAATCCTCAAAATGTATATTGCTTTCTATGAAGCTTTCTTTTTTAATATTGTTTTAGTTATTTTGTAAAACAAAAAATATCATTTTTTTTATATAACTATTTGACTAAGTCAAATTCAAATATTATTAGGTTGAATGAAAAATAACTCTCTCAAAAATATTTTCTGTATTTACCCATTCAAATTCGAGACCTCATGGCTCTCTCTCTCTCTCTCTAATTCAGGGATTATCAATTTCAAAATATCCATTCCCATTTTTTTATTGCAGATCTCACATTTACTTTGTTTATCATGAGGCTTTTATTATTTTTATTCTCATTTGCTATAACATATATTTGAAAACTTAATTACATTATATTTTTTACAAATTACTATATAAAAATTTCAGAAAAAGTCATATGGGTAAGTGAGATAGGTAGTACCTTACTATAGATCAAGGTACATAAAATCGGACCGGTTATTGAACCGGTCACGACACTAGATCACGGGTTAGTGGTTCAACCGGAGGTTGAACCGGTGACAAATCGGTCATGATTAAAATAATACAATTTAAATAAAAAGATATTAATTATAAAAAAGTAAATCAAATCCAACCACTCAAAAGTCCAACAGTAATAAAATACAACACTTCAAATATCAATCCTTAATTCCTTACAATTACAACCCTTTAATCATTAAAAAGTCTAAAACTAATATTCATCATGGTCATTTCATTTCTTCAAGGCAAGGCTTGAAAAAAAAAGCCCCCAAAATGACATCGTTTTGGAATTTTAGCCTGAAAAAAAATCAACTCGGTTAACCCAGTCAACCTATCGGGTTAGCCGAGTTATACCGGGTTGAACCCAGGTTGATCGAGTTAAATTGGGTCAGTCTCACATCGGTTTAGTCATAAACCCAGATTGGAGAAAGGACCGGGTCGTCAGGTTTCGGGTTGACCCGGTTGGTCCGGTCCAGGTTTCCAAACCATACTATAGATTATACAATATTCACTCATGAATCGTCAATTTCAAAATATTCATTCCCATTTTTTTATTGTGAACCTCTCATGTTCACCCTCTCTCTCTCTCCCTCTCTCTCTCTCTCTAACTATGAAGCTTATATTATTTTTTGTCCTCATTTGCTATATCAACCACAAGGCAGGAAATTCACAAATTTCTTCTACAGGCAACCAAGCAAAATGTCCTAAATTTGTGACGAGGGTTATCTCTAATATGCTACTGTTCTCAAGAAATACATTTGAAACAACCAAAAAGAAAGTAAACTGAGATAAGAAAATTTCTAATCCAACAAATAATAAAATTTCCCTAGCGGACCATTGAAACCTGTTAGCTCCATGTTTTTGTTTAATAACGAATTAAAACCTGTTATCAAAATTGAAAACCATATTGACCTATGCAAAATATAAATAAAATTCTCTATAACTAGTCCTGTTTGTTCTATTAGGTCATGTTGGAATGGAGTTTATCTAAGTTCAAGTATGATGTTAAAATTTATAATTATGAGAATTTAAATCTTGATTTTTATATTACGAGGAATTAACTTTTTTCAGCTAAACCCAACCCTTGTTGGAATGAGAATGTAAATTTTAAAAATAAAATAATTTCACCTCAAAACTTTTAATAATGCATGCAACATATTTAAATTTTTAATTAAAGTCTAATTTTCTCTGAATTAAAATTTATCTTCACAATTGCAATTTTTTTAACTTTTTACTCCATTTATAACCTCTTGGGAAGGAAAAGGAGGAAAAAAGGACCTGAAGCCTGGCAGCATGCTCTGTAAAATTTGTTAGAATTCAAGTTCAGAATTCAAGTTCATCATCAGAATCCAAGTTTAGGATGAAATGAAACAAAACATTCATTAATGAAATGAAGTATAACAGAATGAAACTAAATGAAATATTTCATTTTTTTGTAAGTTTTACGAGGACATGGAATAGTGTTTTTTTTTGGGCCTAAATTGAGAGTTATTATAATATAGATAGGACAAAATTGATTACAACTGTTTTTTTTTTTTTTTCTGACCACTGCAACCAGTGCAATACATGAGATGTGAAAAGAATTAAAAACTATTTAAGTAAATAATGTTACTTAATAATTATTTAGAATGTAAAATGCTATTAAGTGAAAATAACTTTTAAAATAAACTTTCTAATACTGTTGACATATGCAAACCACACCTCAGATTAATCCTAAATTAAAAATTACAGATAGTTGAAAAATGTTTTCTATTAACTTTTAAATGAAATAATTTGCTATGCACATGATATTTTTATAATTGTCTAAACTAATATTTGTAACTAATTTTTTTAAAACATTTATTAAATTGATGTTTTGGACCTAACTGCCATTTTTGCCGATTGAAAAAGCTTTGCCCTTTCACCTGTGACATTGTGCGGGGAATGTGCACAATCCAGATATCGGGCTCTTTAGAGAAGATACATGAAGAATTCGCTATATTTGTCAGTATAGTAGAGATTCAAGAATTGATACGGAACAACAGACTGAAATGCTTATGAGATCCGTAAAGTTTCCAGTTTGTTTGCGCCATCAAATTGCAAATTCTGTGACAGTACACGCTCATCCAACTTGAATCCCGCAATCTCGGCCTCCCTGCAAATATCTCTGCACTTCGCTTTCCTGCCGGCCACCAAGTAAATATGAAGCAAGTCCTCGTATATGTCCCGAGTAGGAGAAAATCCCGCTTCTTTAAGTTTCGAAAAATATCTCACAGCTCTGGAGATGTCATTCAAAGCAACAAACAGCTTTATTGCCACACGATAAGCTGGAAGGTCCAAGAGACAATTTGAAGCCTCCATCTCCCAAACCAATGCCAATGCCTCCCTGTATTTTCTCTCTTTGTAACGACTGTGAATCACAGTAGTAAACATCACTATGCTCGGATCACGGCCTGAGTGTCCGAACCAACCGAACAGACTCTCCACTACATCAAATTTCCCCATCTTGGCGCACACTTTCATGATAGCTGTACAATCTTGCTGGCTCAAATTCAATTCTTCTCGTTCACCTAGTTCATCTAATAAGGGCATCACTTGTGCGTGTTTATCGGGGTTCTTTCCAAGTTCTAGTACTAGTTTTGCATAAATGCCAGAATCGAACATTCTTTTACCTTTTCTGGCAACTACTAGAAGCTTCCAGGCGAGCTTGAAGCTTCCTCCTTTAATAAAACCCATAACCATCGCCTCCAGTACGGCACGGCTTGCCATCCGGGTAAATTTTCCTAGGTTGAAAGGAACTTTAAGTTCATGGCTCCTGGCCAAGACCTCGATTGTTGAAGCTAGAATTCGATCATCTGGGAAGAGTTCAGGTTGTTTTTGAGCCCAGCAAAATGTTTGCAAGGCTCTCCCAGGACACCCCATATGACCTAATTCCCTTATTGTTAAGGACAGGGAACCCTTCCTCAGGAACTGCGCTCTCTTGCGAAGAACTATGGATACATCTTTGTCTGGATCAAGTTTGCTGATTTCTCGGGCTAGCTCAACTAAGAAACCAGGGTCTTTGTACCACTTCTTAGCTGTGGATGCACGATGAGAAACTGCAGCTGGATCTGTCAATCTGACCTTTGTTTTAGGTGTAGGCAGTCCCAAAGGTCGAACTTTGTGGGGAAGTGGGAGAGGAAGAGGCCTTTCTCTATTCAGCTTTCCAGCTTTTTGAGGTATTCTACCCTCAAAAAGCGATGAAATGGCTTCAATCTCATCTGCTTCCCAAACAACGCAAGTATCTTCTTCTTCTTCTTCTTCTTCATTAGCCATATTTAATCCTTTATTGAAGCTCAAATCCTCCTGAACAGGTTCTGAGATGGTGCTACTCTTCTTCAGGAATAAGTTAACACCAAATTCTGGTGGTTGCTTGGGGCGTCGGGGACAAGGAATGTTCTTAGGAAGTCTTCTCTTGCCATTCGAATGGACCATTGAAATAAATGCATGATATCCGCGCAAAGTTCTATTCTTCGGATAAATAAGCCCAGAATGCAACGGCACTATGCAATCCATTACCCGAAACTGAAGAATAAAAAGGTGTGAGCTGCAATGCAGTTGAGGATCAGTGGAGAAAGTGGACAACGCTATCAAAACCGTGTAATAAAAATTTATAAAAAAAAAATTAGGCTGTTCCTAAAACTTACCCCGGCGACTGCTATTTCAGTGATGGGCGCGCGCAAGGACCGCAAGGTGAGTTTGGGTCTTCTAAGCAAGGCCTTCACCCTCAGAAAAATCTCCTCCGACCACGAGAGGCTGCCACAAGCCGAGTCGGCGGCGAAGAAGGAATTGAAACGGTCTTCTTGGCTTCCAGATCCAGAGAGAAGGTGGCCGATGAGAAGCCTAGAATAGGTTTCTGTGATGACAAATTTTTTAGACCTTCGACTGACGTTTCTGCAAAACCACTTTCGCCTATCGCTTCATCTCACACAGTTCAATTCACACTTGAGCAAAAGCTTATACCATAGTTCTATAGCTTTGACAATTTTCTCGTTTTAGCTTCCGTAGGTTCTTCGATAAGGATTCTTAACGTTTCAATTCAACCCAAAATAACCTCCCAATTCTATCTGGAATCAAAGATTTGAACGGAAAATTTTCACCTAAGCATATAGTAACCAGCTCCAATTAACAGCAGAAATTTCCGAACTCGAACGCACTAGGGCCGACCCACCAAACGCCGCAACTTGTTGAGGAAGAAGCTCCTCAAGAACCAGCACGTGCGCCAAAATGAAAATCTCGCTGACCCAAAATCTGATACTCAACTTTTTCTTTCTTTCTTTCTTTCTTTCTTTCTTTGTTTTTGTTTTTGTTTTTTTTTTTTTTTGGGACAAGATATTCAACTTGGTTCTCCGACTCGGCTTCCCTCCCCTCCTCTATCCCTCCTCTGCACCTCCACATCACGGAGAAAGACTTTGAGTGTGCAAATTAAATTTGGAGGGTAGAGATCCAACATAAATTTTTTTTATTTTATATCAATTAAAATAAAAATTATGAATTTTTTTAAAAATTTAATTATCAATCTAAACAGTTTAAATTTAATATAAATTATTTAAATTTAATATTAAACAGATCATTGGTCTAGGGTGTCTATGTTTAATATAAGTAGTTCAAATTTAATATTTAAAATTTATAAAAATTATAAAAAAATTTAATTAAATCTGCAATATTCAGAATATCATGATATTCATTTTTTAAGAAAATTAAATTAAATTTAAATCATCTATATTAAATATAGACTATACAAACTGATGATCAAATTTATTAAAAAAATTATAATTTTTTATAATTTTTATTTTAATAAATAAAAAATTAATACATTAAATTTGGACCATTCAAATTCAATTTGTACATTTCAAATTTTCAGTGTCTCTCAATGGATGGATAGTGGAAGATTTTCTACCTCAAGAGAATCCAACTCCCCTATGTTCTAAATACTAACTAGAAGTGCTTACGAGACGGGACGGGACGGGGATACTTCGATTTGTGTCCTATCCCAAAAAATGATATGGACTAAATTTTTATTCCTTGTCTTATTCCGTCCTAAAAGTCATCCTATCCAGTTAGGAATTGAGATGAGATTGGAATGAGATTGGCACATCCTGTTGTCTCGATAAAGCAAATAATATGGGAGAAATGCTTAAATAACAACCTTCATTAAAATTTTAAAGTACATAATTTATTCAGTTTAAAATTAAAACAACACGAGTACGTACATTATAATAATTTAAAGTCCATTATTAAATTACATCAATTACAACTATAAATGTACTATTTAAAGCTAAGTGTACATGAAACATAAAACATTATGATAGTAATTACAAGTAATCTCTAGGCTATAAGAACACCAACAATGAACAACCCGGGCATGATATAAAATTATTGTTCTTCCTCTTTAGTTGAGATATGTTAAGATTGTGACTCTTGCAAAAAAAAAAAAACAAGAAATGCAATATAAACAAAAATTACTAATAGATAGATATAAAAATAAATCATATTAATATAGTTAATATATTGTAAAAAAAAAGAGAGATCACATGTACTAATTACTCTATGTCATTAAACTTATCAATGTAAAAATTTTTGGATAAATTGGCATACTAGCTAAAAAAATCTTGTTCCCAAAAAATATGGACCAAATTTTTAAAAATTTGAGAGTGTAGTGAGTTCACATTGATATACAAGAAGTTTAACATTGATATATAAGATATTTATCATTGATATATAAGGGTTTATCATTGATATAGAAAGGGTTTATTAGTAAAAAATTTAAAAAATATTAGGGTTCATCATTGATGTACAACAGTAGATCAATAAAAAATATAATAAACTGGCCATAATGTAAAATGCAATAAAGGTTGAATTGTTTGCTTGGTTTGGTCCTATAACAGAAGTTATATTTGTAAAAGCTCCAAAAACTTATAGTTTTAAATAAGAATTGCACATATTAAAATTATAATTAATATATATATATATATATATATATATATATATTCGAGATATTTCAAAGGCAATCTCGTATCCCGTCCTATCCTGAACTCATTTTTCATCTTGTCTCTCAAAGTTCCATCTGAATTTTTTTCGGTCTGGAAAGACTCATCACAATATGGGTGGTATATAATAATTATATTGTGCCCCTACAATCTTTCCCTTAAGCAAGAGTTACATAAATATAATTTTTTTTTATTATTGCATTTTGAAGACAATGACCTGCACATACTGGACTAATAGTTTGTCTTTCATTACAAAACCCACATACTTCTTAACTCACACAAAATTATGAGTTTCAATTCGATTAAACTATTGCATTCAAATTCTCGGCCAATCAATCTCTAATACATTTATGGATGAATCTGTTTTAATTTGATGGCTAAATTGGAGAATTAGGTAGTCCGGCATAACAACTTCTTATAGTAATTAGTAGTTAAAAATTATCAATAAACACAAATATTTATTAATAATTATAAAAATATCTTAAAAAATTTTAAATTTAATTTAAACCTATATTAAACTAAATGAAACCGTTCAAAAACCAAACTAAACCAATTGGGTGAAAGAAATTAAATAGGTCCTAAATTATGATAAACCATTGGTTTGGTGTTGTTTGATTTTTTTTAAAAAAAAAAATCAAACCAAACTGAACTTGTAAATACTCTTAAATCAAGAAGAATGTCAAAGAATTGAGGCATATTCAATTGTAATTATTTTTTTTGGTACAAACATTTTGGCTTGAATGAATGACCGCACCGTATCCAACTTTGTTTTGGAAAATTACATAAAAATAATTATAAATGAAAAGGATATTTATATCTTAAATAAAAAAATAAAATTTTATAAAATACAAAACCTATCCTAATTTATACTCCCTCAGTTGAAAATTATAAATATTTTTAAGGGGTTAGATGTTAAGTAATATAATGTATTTGTAATATTTCAATGTGTAATTAATGCATTTTTTTCCTAAAAATATCTTTAATAAATAAATTATTTTATATTTATTTTTAAGTAAAATGCTCTATTAAATAAGGTTAAATATAGAAAGATGATATTATTTTGAAGACAATTAACTAATTTATTAAGAATGAGATTTTGTTAAAAATAATACCTTACATTTTTAAACAAAAAGTGTACTATTAATAAACATTTTATTTTTGTATTCTAGAAAGTGAAGCTACTGCTGATAATAAAAGTATTGATAAACATGAGCATAATTATAAACTTGGCGAGCCATGCTAGTCAAATTTAAGAGTTAATGAGCAAATAAGATCTTAAATTCTTACTTGAAAATAGCCTTAAACCCTGAACTCTTAAAATATATAAAATAAATTTTAAACTTTTAAATTCATAGCAAAAGAAACCCTGATTGTTAACTTTTTTAACACTGTTACTGTCCACGCAGGTATTGTAACAGTCAGGGTTAAATTAATAGGAAAATAAACCCTGAACAATACATGTGTGGATTGAAAAAAATGTTAAAAAAGCTAACGATCAAGGTTTATTTTATTATAAATTCAAAAATTTAGTGTTTATTTTTATATTTTAAGAGTTTAAAATTCAGGGTAATTTTTTTAATAATAGTTCAGGATTCTATTTGCTCATTAACTTCAAATTTAATTGGATCATTTTCAATGCATTTACGTCGTGTTCATGACATGATTAGAAATCAAATTTTAAATTATATGAGACATAATTAGTTATGTAATATTATCAATTTATTAAAAAAATTAAAATTAAAAATTTAGATGTTATAATTTATCATTTTATTTCAACTTTTTTAATATGTACAAATAATGCTTCTTAAATATATATTTCATATTTTTTATTTTTTTAGAATTTTAATTTAAAATTTAATTATTTTTCTTAATGAGATCATATTACACAAAAACACTCACGTATCATAGAATTCATTTTCTTTTCTGGCATTATATAGTTAGACATGTTTTTGAATTATATCCTTCAAATAAATTTTAATTTGTCAAACTAATTTTTTAAGGATAAAAAAATATCCAAACATAAGTTACATTAAATAACATTTTCATCCCAACTTAAGTCAACAAATTTTATTGGGTTAATATGTAATTTAGATTCTGAACTATAAATATAAGAACAATTTGAACTCTATATTTGTAATTGATATATTTTGAACCCTTAATAATCAAATTTGAGATATCCTTGCTCTCGTCATTAATTTGGTCCTAATCTCTGTTAATAAAAGGGTTTAATGGCAATTTAAACCCTTAACTATAAACCTAAGGGTAATTTCAACCTTGAACTCATATTTGGTTCAATTTGAACCCTAAAAAATTAAATTTGAAGCAATTTTGCCTTTATTATTAATTTGGAATTAATGTCCATTTTCTTTAACCACAATTGGGGCTATGCTTCTTTATTTATGACACCATTTCTACTTTTGTTGTACTTCTTTTCTTGCTTTTTGTTTCTAACCCATGCCGCTTGGGCAAATCATGAAATCCATGAGGTTGGCTGCAAGTGTATATATATGATTTTTAACTATTAACAAGACTTCACAGCAAATTAAATTAAAATCAGTATAAATTCATATGAATCCAAATCACCTATATTAGAAATCAATCTTTAATTCACTAAATTAAAAGAAAATCAATTATAAATGAACCTCACATAGGTATCTATGAACTTGGATCCATTCGAAGCAATCAAAATGTCATATGCCAATGCAATCTCTAATCCAGCCATACGACAAATCCCCTAACATCACCCTTGAAGACATCTCTTTCTACGAATAGGTCCACCGAAATAAAACGCTCAATTCGAGCTAATCAATATGATTACTTGCATTAAATCATCCCCATCTGGCCTCTTGAATGCTAAGGATAGGTCAACCATCATTGACCTGGGTAACGAGTTTAGAGAACCAAGCTAATTGATCATGATTGAAGTAATGTTGTTTGGCTCGCACTAGATGAGTATGAGCTTCTTTTACAACGATGACAACTCTAGCGAACCTTGAACTTGTACATTTAGAAGTATTTGGAGGAGTATGAAACGGGATTGTTGTCAAAGGATTTAGCCATAAGGTTGTTGTGGGAGAGGAATTTCTATAGAAGGGTAAGGAAGGACTTTCTCTAAAAAGGTCTCATAGACAGAGGGAGAGGCCACCTGGGAATGTAAAGAGGCAAAGATGGAGAGAGAGACAAAAATCCAATGGCACTTATATGGGGCCTTCACTTAAAGTAACGAACATTTATACCATTTTAATAGTCGGGGCCAAATTGCTCTAAGTTGAATTGTTTAGGGTTTAAAATAAACCAAAAATGAGTTTAAGATTCAAATTGCCTATAGACCTATAGTTTAGGATTCAAAT